AAAGTCTGACATACAAAGGAATGTACAGTAATACGAGTCCTTCCACACACTTCACTTCGGATCCCCCAAAACTACAACAAACACAGGATCTCTTCTGCTTGAGGAAAGAGGTTGAAGGGGAGAACCAAGAATATCTCATACTTTATGAGGTTTTATTAATGCAAAATGAAAGAGTATCAAGGAGCAGACAGCTTTACACTCATGTACCCAGTGAGACTTTATGAGATGTGAATTTTATGTTGCCTGTCTAAATGCCCTTATCTGTATCAAAATGCTGTTAATCAGTAGTCATTATCTTTCTGGCATGGAGCAGAGCCCTGCCCAACATGTTAAACAAAAACTTTGATCTTGCATTAAAAGCAAGCTATTTAAAAAGGAAGCATACTAGATTACCTTGAATAGGAACCAGAGATATCACCTCGGTACCTCCAGCAACAGCTACTGCAACAATTAAAAATCAGGCACGTGGCACTTAAAATGAGCTATGAAAACACAGGTTTGGGGCTGCCTGTAGAATTAAACAGAGTTTTGCAGCTACAAAAACCACAATTACTAAGCACTAAAATCCTCATAGTAACAGGGACCCTCAGAAATCCTCATCCTCGTAATGAACAGCAAAAGAGTTGAGGTGGGACTTAACATACCTACGGGCTCGACCTGCTGCTCTTCCACACAGAGAACACACAAATTCTGCTTCCATCCCACTGCAGTCACCAGCGTAGTCTTTCCAAGTCCCTCCTGTTGTGTTTTAGTGAGATTTCTTAAATCTCTAAAAAGCTTTTCAATGTATAAAACCCCTACACTTGAGGGAGGCCCACTCTTGCTTTTCCATGGTAACACCTTATTCTCCACATAGTTCTGATACTTCTGTAATTAAAAATCAAAGTACTCTGTAAAGATAACAAACCACTTTTCTGTTACAGCGGAATATTTGAAAACAAAATTCCTTTTGTAAATGTGTATGCCATCAGGTAGAAATGGCAAGGGGAAGGTTACATACTCTATCTTTAGAGCTAATTTTAATAAAATGAGCATCCTTGAAACCCAAACTCCTCAGTTTATCACATTTTAAAATGGAACTCTTTATTTTTTTTTTCTTTTGACGATTAAAGCTTGAGAAAGGTACACTATAGCTTTTAACATAATTTGTGAACATAGTATAACTATGTGTAGCTACCGGCACAGAAAACTGCAGCATCAGATCTGAATTTGCTGTATGGTTTGACTGTACTTCTTTGTCATCTCTGACATTTGAAAGATACCCGATTCAAATGATTAGTGATTACAATAATCACTACTGCAATAAATTCTTTACAAATATATACTACCCAGCTGATACTCAAAACCAGAAACAGAACCAATTTCTTCTTTGTTCTTTGAATTAAGTCTTAAGAAAGCAAGAATAGGAAAAAAAATTAAAATACTATTACTTAGAATTATTCCTTCTTTTTTCTAAACATTCTGTATGTCTTCACAACTACAATGAGCTGTGTTACTTTCAGGAAAATCCAAAGTCACTCCATCTGCACTGAGTGAAAGCTTGAAGGCTGTCTGAATTTTGAAAGAAACAATACGCACCAAGAAAAGATCATTCCCCTGTGCGGCAATTACTGACATTTTATTAGGTTTAGCACTGAAGGTCAACAAAAGAGTACTTACCTTTTGTTTTGGAAAGAGTTTTGGAATAGAAATCAGTCTGTTGCTACGTGACTGGTTTCCAGGCAGCAATTCCCCTCACTTCTTCGGGAAACAACGTGTTCTTCTGTTTCTGCAAATGCTGTTTATATTGAGTAAATCCAAGTATGCTCAACTCAGACAATATACTGTGAACCAGTAATGAAAAAATGCATTTGCAAAAACCAGAACATAATAGAGTGACCTCTCTCAACTCCTACCTGGAGAAAGAGACGCATCATATACATGACAGTTGCTGGCATTACATTTTCTGGCTGATGACTCGAGAGAATGCCAACTTTTATGAACTATACTTGATCCATTCAATTTATTTTGTGAATAAACATGTACAACTTCTTCCATTTCTTACAGTGTTTGAAGGGCTTAGACATATCAAAAGCGACAAGTGTCAGTGGAAATGCTATAAAATGGTGAAGTTTTCACCGAATACTGATCAACATCCCTCAATAACAAACCAAGGATGCATCCACAAAATGTTTTTTCATACAAGTTTTTTTACACTATTTTTATTTGCTTTTTTTTATAAAAAGCGTCTCTTACTTTGTCCACTTAGCATCTGTTATGACCCACTTGTGAAAGTTCAGAAAAATGAAAGGTAATTAAAAAATTCAGTACAACAGGATGAAATCCATTCAAGCTAAATTTAAATATTGATATTTAGATCAAACTTCATTGCCCGGTTTTCACCAGCCCCGACTTGAACAACCTGAATTGAATCAAACTAGTATTTGATCATTTATTCAGATAATAAGTAACTCAAAAAGACAGAGCCCAAAATCCACATTCATATCTGTTGAATTTTGAAGGAAATGGTTTTGTCTTTTAATGTAATTAGCATCCAGTAAAATAAATTAGTAGACATCAACTTTCACTAGCTATTAAGCTTTCCACTTGTGAGGGTCTTCGGTTTGAATAAATGCAGAAAGAAGATGCTTAAAACTGCATATTGTAAATAAGGAAAAAAAGTCAGAAAACATGCATATTAAGAGTTAGCCTGCTCATTTGCTAAGAACCAAATGTTTATGACAACACAATTTATCTTTTAAGAAACAAACATGTTCTGCAAGCTCAGTTTCCCTGGAAAGAAGAGACAAGAATGCCACAGAGAAGGATTAGGAAGAAACCTGGGACCAGACCTTTTGGGTAATGTAAGACATAAGCAGCAAAAGGCTAGGCAGCTGAGAGGGTTTTTTTTTGTGTGGGATGATACAACCACATCTTTTCTGATGGAGCTATGAGGACTGTATCCCCAAGCAGCACTGTCTGGTGCTGCACACATCCTCCAGGTTATGTGATGAAGCAGTACAACTGTACCACCTTCTGATCCAAGTCAAGGCTGTGTTTTTTGAGAGCAACTGACCAAACTCACCTACAAAATTACATGCAACCCACAGACACGCATTAAAGAACATTACTCAAGTTGCAAAGTCAATCACTCAAGAATTTTGTAAGAGAAGAATTTAATTTGCATGTGGAAATGTAATTCACTCCTTACTGTATGTGGTATAACTTAATCTTTTACTACACGATTACATACACTTTCTCTATGGATATCAGGCTGTGTAGTCAAAAAAGCCATACTCTGTAGCTTTCTACTTCATTGTTTGCACAAGCTGAAAGATCCAATATCAATAATCTACAAAGATGTAAGAAGGAAAAGAGGATCTCAGTGTTAAAGCTGTTCACTTCTCTGTCCTGAAGAGTTAGGCTCTATCTCTGCCTCTACTGAAGACTCCTACCTGGAGGGGTCAGGGATGGAAGCTCTTCTGCATGAACTGCACGTCCCTTACTTTCCCTGTAGGTGATCTGAGATTTGGGGATCTGACTTGTAGAAGAACTGGAAGTATAATGCAACTGACCAATATTCTGAAAAGATGACGTACCAGGAAAAGGGCACTAACAATCAGTGGACACTTTGGGTCTTAATTGCATCTGTGTTTCAGTTCCTAATTCATGAAACGTAAAAAAAAAAAGATACCTTGCTGCCTTACACTGTTGTGTAAAGAGAAATGTCCACTAATTGTGAAAACGCTGGATGACAGTCAGTAGGACAAAACTAATCCTGAGGTTCTGATGCTAAAACAAGTACTGGTAGACTTTCCAGGTTTAATTATACTTTTTACATGGTGTAGGCAAGTCTGTGCCTCAGTTTCTCATTTGTTAAATAGAAAAGCACCTTCCTTCTCCATAGGGCTTTTATGAGAACAAGCATATGCTTGAGATTATGAGGGACTCGGACAGATATGATGGTGATGTGGGTTATACTCACTGTGAAACACGGTCAAGTACACCCCAAGGTACTACATGAAGAATTCAAAGGTGTCAGGACCAGGAATTTAATTTGAAATTTTACCCACATTTTCCCCACCTGTATTTTCTCTTGACTTATTTGTAGCACTAAACAATGCAAAAGTAATGCAGGAAAGTGGCAAAAAGTTGAATAAGGCATGCGCTGGATGTTTTCTTGGTGTTCCCGTCTAATACACAATACTCATTAGGATGTAACTCCTGCCGGTAAGTGTACGTTGAGCAGATGGACATCAGCAGAGTTTGTGAATGTGTATTAAGGTGCAACAGATCATGCCTTAATGGCCAGTTAGGCTGAATCCTTTCTCCTGTCACTGGAAGGATTTGTACACACTTTTGCTTAATTCTCCCCGAGAATCCACAATGTTTGCTTCCAGCAAACATTACAATTACACCATACACAGATACGCTGCATAAAAATTATGTAGAGCAAATGACTCGCGCCACTTACTAGACTAGCTGGGGGAGCAGAGGGTCTTTTTTCCCAGTGTTCACAGTCAAAAAACCCCATACTCTGTCAAGAAAATCTCTCAGCATGGCATTTCGGCCACCTCATTAACTCGGTAAGATTTCATTACCAAATGCATGAATTGTCCTTACAGTCACACTAAGCATTTCCACAGCAACCTTAGTAAGGCAGCGCTGGACCGGCACAGCCGAACGCATCCCCTCACCCACCCAGCACGGCACTGGCAAGCGTCGGGGCCAAAACTGAACATTTCTGCAGAATACAGAGGGTGCTTTAACGCGGTGCGTTTCCACTAAGTTGAAATAACCGCGAAGTTCCTGCCTCCCATCTACGAGCCTTGCCGCCTTTAGCCCACAGAATCAGCTGCCCGCGCTCCGGCGGGCACGTCGATCCGGTTTCAGGATCGCCGAGACCGGCGACAGGTCTGCCGACGGGGTGGGCCGAGGGCAGCCTCCGCACCCTTCCCCTCAGCACGACCCCGGGTGGCCTGGGAGCCGCCGGGGTCCCCTTCCCGCTGCCCGCCATTTACCTGGAGCAGGTGGTGGGCCGCCCGGTAGCCGAGGCGCGGGCCTCCCCGCACGCCGGGCGGCAGTCGCCCCGTGCCGTAGCCGTGCCAGGCCACCACGTAGGGGTTGTCCATGGTCAGCCAGTAGCGCACCTGCCCTCCGAAATGCCGAAAGCAGAGCTCGGCGTAGTCGCGGAAGAGCCGGGGCAGGACGGGGCTGGCCCAGCCGCCGAAGGCGTCCTGCAGGCCCTGCGGCAGGTCCCAGTGGTAGAGGGTGACGACGGGCTCGACGCCCAGCTCCCTCAGGCGGCCCAGCAGCCTCCGGTAGTGGGCCAGCCCGGCGGGGTTGACGGGCGCCGTGCCGTTGGGCAGCAGCCGGGCCCAGGCCAGCGAGAAGCGGTAGTGGGAGACCCCCAGGCGCCGCAGCCCCTCGGCGTCGCGGTAGAGGTTGTTGTAGCTGTCGCTGGCCACGTCGCCGCCCGGCGGGCCCGGCGGGACGGACCCCGTCGGCGCGGCGGGGCGGTGGGCGAAGGTGTCCCAGACGGAGGCCCCTTTGCCGCCCTGGCGCCAGCCGCCCTCCGTCTGGTAAGCGGCGCTGCCCGCCCCCCAGAGGAAGCCGTCGGGGAAGGTGTCGTGGAGGAAGAGCTGGTCCTGCGGGTAGGGCAGCCGGGCGAAGCGGGACCAGGTGCCCGCGCCCTGCCCCGGCGCCCCGAGCACCGGCTGCCCCAGCACCAGCAGCACCGGCAGCAGC